AATTTAAAATCTTTTAAGATTTAATTTATTAACTGCAATTAGATGTAATATATTGCTTAAAACTCATATTTAGTAATTTCAATACTCAACACATCACATCTTTTTACATACTTTATATGTTAAAAAAAAGATTATTTTACGGTTTTTGTTCCTCCTCCTTAAAACATTCATGTTTGAGAGTATTTAATATACATCCCTTATCAGTGTATGGACAGCTATCTCTCGAGCACAGGTTTACGTTATAATAAACCGATGTCTTTAAATTACCTTTAGGGGGTGTTTGGTTCATGGAATTTGATGGAATTGGAAGGAATTGGAATGTCCAAATCTTTGACCAAATTCCAAATCCCATGTTTGGTTCACATAATAGATGTGAAGGAATCCTTCCAATTCCAATCAATTCTTTAATTCATTGATTTCACAATTCCACCGCATATACAACGGATTTCAAATTCCAATCCGACAAATTCCTTAGCCCTCATCCATTCATCGACACTATATCTCGATTTGCTCTGTTCTGCTATGCTCAATCTCGTTTAAAACTATGAATGACAACGGGCCAAGTTCGGGCCGGTTATTGGTATCCCCGTCCCAAAAACTGATAACTAAAATCGTCTTCATGAACGCCCTGATCCCCGTCGGGGATCTTATCGGGTCATGCGGTTTCCCCGATCCACGTTGGGGAACTCTTTAAGGTAAAAATCCTCTTTTTCTCGTTCACCATTGGTTGTAACCGAACCCGAAACAGATCTAAAAATCCCCGTTAAAATCCCCGAATTTAATATTATATATATATATATATATATATATGTATATAAATTAAAATTAATATATATACACATATCAGGTCGGGGCGGGCCGATGATCACCGTCCCCGCCCCCGTCCCCGTTAAAATCCTCGAATTTGTCCCCGGTCCCCGTCCCGTCCCCGATAAGATGTACCCGAACCCAGCCTGAAAGTTTCGGTTTCAATTTTTTTTGCCTGTAATTTTCTCGTTGAATTCCGTGAAGGAAACAAAAAAATTCCAATTCGGTTAAGAATTCCATTCCAATTCCATCCAACCAAACGCAATCAAAAGACATGGTCAAATTCCATCAAATTCCATTTCATTCCCTCAAAGTCAAATTCATTTGATGAATTCTAATTCCATCGAATTCCATTCTACGAACCAAACGCCCCCTTAGTTTTTGAATGATGGAATCAAGAGTCATTTCGTTAATTATTCAACTAATAAGAAATTGTCAAAAACGAAGTCTTCAAATTCTTTTGAGTTTTAAAATGGACTATTTTTTCGGTTTAGAGGATATTAAACATTAATATTCCCACAGTCATTTTGATCTGTTATAACTATCCGTAATTAAAAAAACAAAAAAATGGATGATAAATTGATGAGTTGTATCACTTGTATAATCTATAGGGGTTGTATTTGGAAACCCCCCCCCCCCCTATATATATATATATATATCTTGTATGGAGTCAATTTAATGCAGAACTGATTAGTTTGTGATAACTGTGAGATCCAATCTCAACCACAAATCAATGAATAAAGAAACTAATATTTTTTGGTAATTTGACTTAAAATTGTAATTAAAAGGTATTTTAGGTATTTTAAATTTTTTATATCTCTTCTCTATCTTTATCTCTATCTCTCTCCTATCTCTGGCCTCCGAGGAACACTATGTTATACCCAAAATCTATATAATGTGATACTCAAAATACACCAAGTAAACTTTGAGACTATTGTGATACCAACTATGGCGACATTGGCGAGGATGGGTGAAGAGAGATAGGTAGTGAGGGGGTCACCGGGACAAAGATGGGGCTAGCTGTTGGAAATGCTCACAAGTGGGTGTTTAGTGGTCGATCTTCGGAGACGGCGTCTTGGTCGGACAAGATAACCGGAGGTAGTGTGTTTGTTTTGGGTACAAAATGTCACGGGTTCAAATTAGCTACCGGAGTGGTGGTGGGTGCCGCAGAAGGCCACCGGATTTGGTCCTTGTCTGTCCGTGTGTGTGTATATATACATATATTAAAATAATTAAAGTAAATTGGAATATTAAACGAATTAAAGTAAATTTAATAATCAACACAATTTACTTTTGTTTTATTTTAATAAATAATATTAATTATTTAAAATAATTAATTGATATTGGACTTCATAATTAACACAAATCCTTTGATTCTCATTTGATTAGACTCCTATCTTGTATTATTAAAAATGTAGTGGGACCCAACAACATTCTAGAAAGCAAAAAAGGTTAAAGCGTGCATATCACGTTACATCAATTCCTTATATAATCCAAACAAGTAACCACCGACCCTTACATCTCTTTCCCATACCCTTTTCTCATATGAATAATCATCCTTCCAAAATGGACCATCGCCAATCTCTCTTCGTAACCATCCTCATCGTCTTGCTAACTTTGATGGTCTCTAATTCTTCCATGGCTGTTGGCGACTCGGCTCTCACCGGCGGTTGGGAACCAATTACCAATGTGACTGATCCTACCGTTTTAGACATCGGGAAGTTCGCGGTAGATGAGCACAACAAGCAGCACAAGGAGTCCCTGAAGTTCACAAAGGTGGTTAGCGGAAAGAGCCAAGTGGTGGCCGGACGGAATTACAACTTGACAATTACGGCAACAGACGGCGGTGTCGAGAATAATTACGTGGCTATCGTGTGGGATAAGCCTTGGGAGAACTTTAGGCAACTGTTATCTTTCAAAGGACCCATTTAAGGGAATAAATTTGGGTACTGAAACGAACCCTGTCCATGTGTTTTTGAACCTATAACAAGAATAATCTACGTTTTTCAGGCAATGAAACAAGTTACATCTCAATTTTAATGTTTCGTTTTATTATTTATTTATAATTATTTATTGATTTTATAACACGGTTTTCTATGGGTTTGAGAAAATGATGATGTTTTTATATCTGAATAAAATCTAAATTTGAAAACGCGATAAAAATTTATATCAATATTAATGTCAAATTGACAATTTAAAAGTTTTCATTTTTTTTGTATAATTTATTTAGTTCGATACTTATTATAATTTAATTTAGGTTTAACAACGAAGTAATTTATTTTATGTTTGATTATATAATGTTTTTTATAAAGATAATTTTTAGTTCAATTTTTTATGATAATTTAATTTAGGTTTGATAACTAATCAATTTATTTTTTATAAAGATAATAATTAAGTTAATTTAGTTTAGGTATAATTTTTATAACTTTTTATAATAGTACTCTGTTTGAACTCAATAATTATTCTAATTATATTTTGGAATATTTATATTTAAAATAAGATATTTATCAGTTAATTATATGAATTCAGACGTATACCTTTTAAAAAGTTGTACTCATGCATCATTTACCTGTGATCTTGAATTTTAAGTAATATGTGTTATTAAATTGTACTTGATGCATTAAAATTTGTTTTTAGGAGTTTAAGCCAAATGTTTTATAATATAGTATAGAAGGATACTCGTGCAATGTAGCAAGATACATCTTAATTTTTATGTTTCAATCTTTTTTTTATTGTATCGATGTTATAATACGATTTGTGTGGTTTTGAGAAAAATGATAATGTTTTAATTTTTGTATAAAATATAAATTTGAACATATCATAAAATTTTTAAAAATATATATCGAAATTGGACGTTTTTGGACGTCTTAACAAGTTCTTTAGGACACTTTTAATATAAATAGTCCATTAGCTATTTTATATGACACTTTTGAGAAAGTGTCTTGTAAACCTATTTTTCATAGGAGCCATGTATTTATTCCCACTTTTTCAAATAATATCTTATAAAATGGTTAATACGCCGTTTTTAATAAAACTTTTCTAACAAACTTGTTATAACGTCCAGAAACGTCTTATAAACTTATTACAAGTTTTTTATATGACGTGTTATTTTTTGGTTCTATAAATTATGTCTTATAAAATGGTTTATTAGGATGCTTATTTACTGATGGCGTTCTATAAATCCAATTTTATTGTAGTGTCTCATTAACAAAAATTGAAATTTATTAAATATTATGTCATATTAATAGCGTTCAAAGTTGATTTTTTCTTTAACATATATATCATTTGATTTTTTAAAGTTTAATTAAACGTCATACTTTAAAAAGTGATATATATATATATATATACACGGATAAGTTATAAACTTGGATTTTAAGAGATTATACATTGTATATGATGTGTAATAAATAATTTTCGTTTTTATAACTTCTTTTATAATATATTTACATGTGAATATATTATTGAATGAAATTATTGAAAACCGAAAAAATGGGAAAAGTGTGTGTATATATATATAGACTTGAGATCATGTGAGACCAAGGGTTTTTCGTGAGATCCGTAAGACCAATTCTCAACACTTGTATTAGATCTACAATCTAACAATCTGAACATTCGTAAACGCCATGAGATTTCTCAATAATCACAAAATTGTCACCGTGCAACTTCATACCATTAGATCATTAGCTTATAAAGTTGATCAATGAACATAAATTGGTTTTACGGGTCTCATGAAAAAACCTTGGTATCACGTGAACCGAACCCTATATATATATATATCAAATTAAAGAAAATAAATACCCGCTTTTTCATATATTTTGTTTAATTAATTAATTATGTTTAAAACAATTTAGATTTTTAAAAAATTATGATAAATCTATGACTTCCCAAAACTTATTTTATTCATATAGAAATGGTAACATTAGTTTTTTTTAAAAATATTTTAAGCTTCCATTTTTATTTTTCATAAAAAACAAGAGATAATTAAAATTGAAAGATTTTATACGTATTTTTATTTATTTATAATATTTAATACATCTATTTTTGAAAAATTAAGAGTTCCATATGAATACGAACTTTCTTTTGAAGTATACATCGTAATATAAGCAAATACTCATACTTGTCACTTTTAGTTATGTTTGAAGCTTTAACCTTCTTGAAGATTATTCTTTTGGAGAGATATCTCGAGTATCTTGTTTATCATGTCCTATTATTATGTCTCGTTGTGTTTATTTTGGTTGATTGTTGCCTGGTATGGTGTCGTCATCAAGTTTTACTACTAGGGGGTGTATGCAGGTTGGGCGATTTACAACAATTTGACAACCCAACCCAATTATGACGGTTTGGAAAAATCTCAACCCAACTCAACCCATTCAAAAGTATAACCCAACCCAACCCTTGTGAGTTGGGTTGGCGGGTTAGTTACATAATTTGACAAATGAAATAATTCATAAAACTTAAGTTTATAAACCATACTATAAATCATCCTATCTAAAAAGAATACAATAGGTTTATAGGACATTTTTGGACGTTTCAACAAATGTTAGAATGATCCTTAAATAAAATGTCGTATTAGTTATTTTATAGAAACATTTTGAGAAATGTCCTGTAAACTCATCTATTTATAGAATATCTATGTTCATATAACACTTTTTCAAGTTGTGTTGTATAAAATAACTAATACGACACTTAATTTTAAAAGCATCATTGAATTTGTTAAGACGTCTAAAATTATCCAATAAACACATTGTAACTCTTTTAGATAAGACATTTTTTTAATGTAACTCTTTAAAAGCGTCATAGATTGATGGATTCATCCATCAAAATATCTAGCAATATCATTCATATTCTCCAAATATCAATTTATTGTTGCTGAAAAAAATTCAATAATTTTCCTTATTAATTAGATTGTTTGTCATCATTCTTTGATCGTGAATCTCTTTTGGTAATCTATACGTTTAGCTAAAATGAAACAAAATATAATATCAATAAAAGTTATATAAAATTTATACATTATTAATATATATATATATATATACACACACACATAATAAACATATATATATATATATATAATTTTATAAAAGTTATATATTAGCGGCGGGTTAACGGGTTGGGCAGGTTGAGCCCAATTTCAACGCTCCTAATTGGCGGTTTAGCGGTTTGGCGGATGGACGGTTTGACGGGTTGGATTTAATTGGATTGTTAGCGGGTTGAGTTGGGCAGGTTTCACGGGTTGACAATTTTTTATACACCCCTATTTACTGCTTTGTTTGGTTTTCTTGATGTTTGGTTTGAACTCTTGTATTCCTTTTTTTTTTTTTTTGCAGTCTTTAATTTATTTGCCAGGAGCATTCCTTTGCAAAAAGATTTGAGATCTTAGCGATTGGACCAAAGATCATATGGTATGAATGTATGGTTCATAAAAAGGTAGAATGTTGTTTTCTGTGAAGGGAAAACTATTTATTTACCTATTCAGAAGAATATTAGGGGTGTTTATGGGTTGTGTTGTTTGGGTTGACGGCATTTAAACAATCTAATTTAATGCTTGCGATTTGAAAAAATCTCAACCCAACTCAACCCAAACCAAAGTGCATCTCAACTAACCCAACCCAACCCGTACGGGTTGTTCGGGTTAATACTTTGGTACATCAAAATATTCTTCTAACCTTGAATATGTTGTTTTCTCTATTAATACTTCCTTTTTCATAATCAACCATTTTGTACAGCTTAACATACTTCTTAAATCTTAAGTATATCATATTCAATTAATTTTCTCAATTCGCATATACATATATATATATATATATACATAGTTATATACATATATAGGGTTGGGTTCACATGAGACCAATTTATGTTCATTGATCAACTTTATAAGCTAATGATCTAATGATCTAAAGTTGCACGGTGGCAATTTTTGTGATTATTGAGAAGTCTCGTGGCAATTTTGTGATTATGAATGTATAGATTGTAGATCTAAATCCAAGGGTTGAGAATTGGTCTTACGGGTCTCACGAAAAACCTTTGGTCTCACATTATCCCAAGTCTACATATATATACATATACCAAGGAGGTTTACTTTGCAAACCACGTTATTCGTACAAACCGTACAAAGCTCATTCAACCGATTATAATTTTTCATTTTGTTCATTTTTTTATTTTGTAATTATGAGAGGTTGATTAATCATTTTTCTTGTGGAAGATGTTAATCATGGATATTATCATTTTCATTATATTAATTTTAGAAAAATACATGAAACAGTTTCATTAAAATTTCATAAGTATTATATGAAATAATTTCATAACCATATATTAAACAACTTCATCAATAAATATTATATGAAATAATTTCATAAGATTAAACAAATTAATGAAATAATTTCATAAGATTAAACAATGAAATTGACGGATTATGGTGGTTTACATTTGATCGCTCATCTCTCTCTCTCTATATATATATATATATATATATATATATATATAGAGAGAGAGAGAGAGAGAGAGAGAGGTATGTTCAAACGAGAATGCTAACTATTTAAGAAAAAAAAAAAGGTCGTTAATGTACAAAATCAATATATGATTCAAGTACAAAATCATACATGATTCGCCGCTACTTAGTGGCGGCAAAAGTAGCCCCCTTCTATTTTTTTGACGTTAATTTAGAATCACATGTAATTTTATATATTAACAAAATTTTCTTATTTGCTTAAATGATTTGCATTCTCGTTTGAACCTTCCTCTATATGTGTGTGTACATATATGTATATATGTATATGTACATATATGTATATATGTGTGTGTACGGAAGGGTTCAAACGAGAACCCCTGTGATTTACGATAGTGCAAGAATAGTTGTGAGCCTCTAATTTTTTTAACCAGTAATTTAAATTATAATATATAAAAATAAATCATTAAGGATATCAACGTAACTAGTTATTTTTTTATAATTTTATGTTATTTTAATCAATAAATTAACCCATGATTTTTTTATTAGAATGTGAT